ATCAGAACTTTTAATCAGGTCTAGAATCCCTGCTTCACCATTAAAATGTATTTTAATTAGACTTTGCTATAGCAGCAGTTTCTCTTGGCATACTTTGAAAAGTATGATGAGTTGGAGGAGGAACTAAGCGGAATTCTTGAAAATCTAGAGATCTATATTCCATTCAATTTCTTTCTGAGGATGAGGAAGCTTATGATATAAATAAAGAAGTTGCTGGTATATCGGATAACAGAATCCATATTTTCAGCATTCCTTTCCAATGTATTGTGTTATTCTCTTGCTGCGCAGAGAGACCATTGAGAGAAGCAATCTTGGTGAGTCTGTTGCTTGCTTTTCCATGAGCACAGTGTTCGTCATTTCCAGGAATTTTGGCTCTCTGTTAGACTGTGCAGGAGGCTTGAAGGAATGTGTACATAAATAGAAGTTTTGGAAGAACCTTGATAGTAAGATATTTCAGGCAAATATAGCTTTCTGTCTTAAAAAAAAACTCAGCGACTTTATGTGAAGAGAATTTTACTATCATTCAGTATGAGTTAATAATTAGAGAGTAAATAATCAGCCTTTGCAATGTCTTTAAATCAGATAGCCAATGAAGATAGGGAGTGAATGGAATGGGGAAAAAATAATCCTTTGAGTGAGTTTATGATAGATATTGGCTTAAGGCAATTAAAGAACACTAATTTAGTTTTAATAAGTTGCTAAGTGCCAAAAAGGGTTGTTAATCTCTTTAGGCAAAACGTACCATACAGTAACTAGTAAGAAATATATCAAAACAATGTAATGAATCTTGGATTTGATTCAGCAAGCATAGCATAGATTTCAAGTCAACACATCCTAAATCTGTCTCAGACCTCTGGGACAGATCTTGACCATCTTGTTCTCTAGACTGGATTTATCTTTTCCACTTTTTTTGACCAGAATGTTTAACAGCTTCATCTTTCCTTTGAGATATTTGGAAGAATTTAATATTTTTATTCTTTTTGATATTATGATGTTTTAGTTTAATTCCTTTGTAGGATTTCTTCAATTATTAATTTTTTTGCCAAATCATTAATATCACTAGTCAGATGTTCTTTACTGGAGTTATTGGAAAAGAACTATAAACTTCAACTAACTGTCCTTATTTCACAGTTATACATTTTGAGTATCATTATTTTTGCCAAAGCAGAGCTCTGCAATTCTGCCTGAAAATATTTTATCAGTGAGATTTCTGCATCCCATCCTGAAACAAGTTTGTTAGTGCCTACTTGTTGTTTCCCCCAATATATGAATGATCTGCAGTAGACAAGATCTTTGTTTAGAGTAGAAAGGGCATGTAACAGATTCGGAGGGCTTGTTTTTGGCTCATCTATTCTATTCTAGTAACTATCTTCTACTCCTTGCACCTCACTCATTGAAAAAAATATTTCGCTAGCTACCAAGGTCTTTGCCTTTCCAACTGAATAAATCTCACTAGCTAAATTGCTTGCTGTTTCATTTTGTACTATGGTATATAAACAGAATAGCCCTATTGATCAATCAACTGGAGTCTTCTCTGGCAATTTCTTCATCATAGCAGGTACTTGAAGAATACCATGTGGAGAAAATAGAATAATCATCTTTGGCATGAAGAACTATGAAAAGAGAATGAGAGAGGGGTCCTTGGTGCTCTTTGAGCTTGCTTATTTTGTTGCAGATATTTCATTACCCAAACTAGGTAACATCATCAGTGCCAGAGTAGATCAGTGACTAGCACTGATGATGTTACTTAGTTTGGGTAATGAAACGTCTGCAAGAAAACCAACAAGCTGAGAGAGCACCAAGGACCCCTCATGTCAACCCTGAGCTATAAATATTCTCCTTTATTAGAGAGTGAGAGAATATGGTTGATGTTGTTTATCTTTGTGACATGGGCGGAATTAAATATATTATTAAATATATTATTGAGGTATATTATGATTTTATCATAAATCATATTTCAAATTAAATTAAAATACACTCTATTCTGCCAATGTCCCCAAAATCAAGTATAACCCCATTTGTGTGCCATCAGAAAAAAATGCACTGGTGTGCTCATTCGCTCCTTTGACCTTGTACATCTGATTCCCTGATCCATCTATGAACTTCTTTCGTGAAGGCAAAAATACAGGCAGCAGAAGCAGAATGTACACCATGGGTGCAACTGCTGCTATTCATTAGCAGAAGTTTCTGACCAATACTTAAAAGATTTCTACATCACTGAAGACTTGTCAAGTGAGGATTTTTTAATAGTACCCTAAGCCAGGGGTCTTCAAACTTGGCCCTTTTATGACTTGTGGACTTCAACTCCCAGAATTCCTCAGCCAGGCACGCTGGCTGAGGAATTCTGGGAATTGAAGTCCACAAGTCATAAAAGGGCCAAGTTTGAAGACCCCTGCCCTAAGCTATTTAAAGGGTTAGTTGCTGGGCAAGCCATGGGTTTGGAATGCATTTAAACTAATGTCTTACAGGGGTTGTTTCTTGCAGTTATTATCCTGCAGAGTTCTTCATTTTAAAAGTGAATTAATTGCTATTTCACATAGCTGAAGTAAAGTAGTTATCTAGCACCCAAATATATTCCCTCTAACCAGTAGGTAAAGTAATGCAATTTGAAGGCTAACTGTTTTTTAAATAGCCCCATCTAAAATGATCTCCTGATATAAGCAAACACACAAACAGATATTACATTCTATTTGTCCTTCTTGCATTCTTGGGAACTTATATATTTTGCCTAAATACAGGTAGTCATCAACTTACAACCATGACTGAGCCAAAATTTCTGTTGCAAAGTGAGATAGCTGTTAAGTGAGTTTTGCCCTATTTTACAACCTTTCTGGCCCCAGCTGTTAAGTGGATCACTGCAGTTATTAAGTTAGTAACACGTTTGTAAAGTGAATCTACCTTCCCCATTGATTTTGCTTGTCAGAAGTTCACAAAAGGTGATCACATGACCCCAAGATGCTGCAACTGTCATAAATATGAGTTAGTTGCCAAGGGTCCACATTTTGATCACTTGACTGTGGAGATACTGCAATGGTCGTAAGTGTGGAAAAAACAATTGTAAGTCACTTTTTCAGTGCCGTTGTAGCTTTGGTCACTAAATGAAAAATTGTAAATCAAGAACTACTGGTATTCAAAGAGCTCCTATAACAGTTCGATGTTATATTTTTTTAAAAGAATGAGAGAATCAACCATTCTTTGTTTCTTCATTTAATAACTCTCTATGTACAGCCTGCTACAAACTGAAACCATCTCAATGTCTAAAAACTTATATTTTGAATATATCCCTACAGGTTCTATTTTAAAACAATGACTAAATGTATGCATTCCGTCACTTCGGTCTTCTCCTCTCATCCTCTGTACAATTTAGTTCTATTTTCTGTATGACTTGAAGAATTCAGGAGAATTTGAAAGTCTTTCATTTGGTCTTGTAATCTATTTCTCTAATAGAACTGGAAGAGCTAGTTCCCATGCTGTTGTTTTACATATAGTAGTATGACATTTCCCTTGATAATGCTGGCTACTGATGGGGTTGTGCTTGTATATAGAGTACATTATTGCCCATCCCTGAAAATGTTATTTTCACTGATCTGTACCAATTCCCAGCAGTTTACAATGTAGTCATCAAATACATTAAAATAGTATTTTATTATAACATACTGGTAATAAAAATATGAATATATAAAAGTATTCAAATCAAAAGCAAATCAAAATAAACAAATGAACAAGTTTATGCTAGCAGTACATAACTTAAAGGTTCTCCTAAAGAACTCTGCTTTCAATGGTTTATGAAAAATTAGTTAAGTGGAAGCTTACTGAATTTAAAATATGTTTAGAAGCCAGCAGAACACTAGTGTCACGTAACTACTGAGGTTTCCAGGGGTTTTTCAAAGGCTGAATATATATAACATCAGTAGTTCATCATTCCTATTTTCTAAAATAGTCCCAACATGCCTATGGAAGGGATGTCTATTACAAAGTTGCAATCTTCATTTTTTGAATTTTCCAATGGATGCCCCAGCTCCTCCCCTTTTAAAAATAGCAATAAAACTAGGCATTATGGCAGCTATGATAATTTAAATAGGATAACAATTTGTACCAGGCTTAGATTATTCTTTTTCCTACATTTCCATACAATCACCCATTTAGACCCATTAGTCATCGGTTTTCAGTTCCTGTGCTGAACAGTCCATTTTTTCAGTAATTAACTACTACTGATTGTAGAAGATAAGTAATCTCTAAATTGCATATAGTGTTAGACTACCAGTGCTCAATCAAATTTGGATTTGGAAACACACCAATGCTTTCTCTTTCAACTGCATATACTCCTACCTTCTTATAAGGATATAAGTTATAAGTATATGGTATAAGTATATAAAGGTATACTGTTAATGGCATAGGGTTTTCTGTTTGAACAGGGGGTTGGACTAGAAGACCTCCAAGGTCCCTTCCAACTCTGTTATTCTGTTATTCTTTTAAGAAGACCTCCATTCATTCGTTCATTCATTCATGCGTGTATTCACATTCTATTTGTATTGTTCAGTTCCTTAATATCCCAGGTAGCTTAGTAGCTTCATACAGTACATATAATAAAAGCCAGCATTTACATACAATTCATATAGCATGTATTTTCCCCCCAAGATTCATACAGCCTCTGCTCTGTTGGGGTTTCAAATGGCCCTGAAGACCTGGTTCATTGCCCAGGCTTTTGGCAAGCATAATTGAAGAACCCTTCCCCCCCCCATGCACACTTTTTCCCCTTTGTTCCCATCTCATTTGGTCATTTCTGCCATCTTTATTTTTTGGGGGGGGGATCCTTATTTTAAATGTTAACCATTTGTAAACCATCCAAAGTAACTAGAGTTAGGCAGCATATATATTTAACAAGTTATTATTAGAACTTATTGTAATACATTTAATACTGTACATGCCATTTTGGGGAATCTAGAGTCTCAAGAAATTTCAGTCCAGAGTCCTTTAGTTATATAATGTTTAATTTTTTCTTCAGTTCATTCTTTTCATAATGAAACAACAACATTTCAGTCTTTTACTCTCAAGAAAGAAGAGCAATTCAAGAGCAATCCAAAAATAGCACAGTTAAAAGCTTGAACCTACTATTTTACTCTCTTAGAGAAAAAGAAGAAAGAAAAACATACTGCACTCTGTTGCAAGTGAGAAATCCCTTCAGGGGCAATTATGTTTTAGCTTCTCTGAGGCATTGTATTTTACATACATTCTTGCAGCAATTATAATGATATCAAATGTCGGTCTTGCCAAACAGATATCCATAACGGCTAAAAATTCTTAGTTGAACAGAAAGCAGTTTGTTTCACAAAATAACAAAAAGGCATTTAACAAAATACACATGATAAATGTGCACCGCTCCTGCAGGCACAACCATAAATATGGACTAGGATTTTTTTTTACTTTAATGAAGCTGTTGTCATCTTGTTAAAGCAGAAATGCATGTCATTTTTAGAAATGCACAAGAAGTTGTCGGACTACTCATATATAAAGGATATCCAGAAAAAAAGATTTTAAAGGATAGTTTTTAAAAACCTGATTATGTGAGTTGTCATTCTAATTTTTTTCAACAGATATAGACGCATTTTTACTTCACAAAAATGCATCAAATATAACTGGATAAAATATTCTTATATTAGGTTAGGGTCTTTACATGTGAGCTGGGACTTGTCTATCAAATAAAGCTTTGTATCTTACCGGATCAACATTTCTCTTCACATCACCACAAATGACTCCTCAAAAATCACTATTTTGGACATGAAATATAGCTCAGTCTTCCTGTCTATGTTAGAGTTAAAACTCACAGTATTCTCTGGTTTGAATACCAGCAACTCTGCAGTCTGTCCTTTCTAAAACAGATTTCCAAGTTATTTGGACAATAAGAGGCTACCAGTGGGTTTGTAAATTGGGAGCAACCTTAAGTCAGCAGAGTTTTATTGAGATAGAATTATCTTAAGTATGACATTGATAGAAGATCTCAAAGAGGTGATTTTATTAGCTGGCTTTAGACTAAGTAGCTTGTAATACTGGAGCACTTTATGAGCTACAACATATGATTATATAGCACACCCATACGTACACATGCATATTCACACACACGGCTCATCTTCATACTATAATCTTATCTTCAATCAAAGTTAAAGCTCAGAACAGAGTTCAAAAGGCAAGAACACAGTCTTGTGATAAAGCTACTGTTCTAGCTTCTGGAGTTGCTGCCTCAGCACCAAAGCTGGGTTAGTCACATACAAGTTAAACAACTGCAAGATGCCATATAGGAATTTGCATTCCTGTTTAAGCAGCTGTGTTCTTGCATTACTGCCACCCCTTCCCCCAACATAACTCACTTACTAATTTTTAGCAATTGATATCTGAGGAATGTATGTGCGTGTGCAATAATGTTCTCTGAAGGACTGATGATTACATGCCCTCAAGTTGTGGTCAACTCTTGATGACCATATAGATTTTCTTTATGATATTCAGTTCCTAACCTGGTCTCTCAGCAACACCGATGATGCATTCATTGTTACGGTGACTGAGTCTATCCACCTTGCTGCTGGTTGTCCTTTTCTCTTTCCTTCCACCTTTCCCAGCATTAGAGTCCATTATATTCCACCCTATTAGTCTCAATCCTACAAGCTGCTTCTTTGTAGTTGTCACTATTCAGTAAAGGGAGCAACTTCTAGTCTGTGAAAAGACATTGTCCTGTAAAGTTTACAGTGCCATCATACTCATCAGCAATATTCCTCTTGGAGGAAGAAAGCAAATGACTTTGATAAAAGCAGATAATATAAAAGCCAGAGTTGGCTCTGCCTTGCAATGTTCAGCTAACTATGACAGCATGCTACTCTCTAGTGCACATGTTATTCTCTATTAAGCAGACAATTCCTATCCAGGTCATTTAATTTGGTTATAAAATTTCATTATTTTCATTCATCTCCAATTACCGCAACAGTTTTGAAAGCAGATACATGATTTCAGGATAACACTGAAGCATATCACTACTAACTTCTTTGGCTGGCAAGGAACCAAATTATGTAACTATGTGTCCATGTCATTTGTTTGGGATGGTTTATCCCACTCCTCAGTTCTTTAGTTGGGTCTTGCCAACTCCTGGGCCATTAATTTTGCAGAAGAGCCCACATTAGACAGAGCACCTTTCATCTTCAAGTAATTTGAATGATGCACAGTTCACTGTTCAGCCATGCTGTCACCAAGAGAAGACTTATCTTTTTAGGAGATATTCCTTACATTTTACTTTGGAAGTAGCTACGAGATCTCCAAACATCTCCTGGGAAGCATATGTCATGTATACAAATCCATCTTCATCTTTGTAATCTCGGTATACTTCGGCCAGAGTTAAAGACATACTGGCTAAACTCTTGTTGTTTATCAGTAGGTAGAAAGCTTGAGTAGCACTCAATGCCATTCTGCTTCTGGATTAACAAAGAAAATAGACATATTTCTAAAATGTGCAAATTCCTTCATAGTATATAGAGAGTAGATTAGCTAGATAAATGCAAAGTTGCCACCAGAAAACCTCATATTGTTCTTTGAAATAGAGGTAAGGAAGAAGATGGATTTTTAAGTTGTCCAGACTATCCAAGAAAAGATACATATTCAATTTTTATGGGATAAGTTTTACAGTGTTTAGTGTAGGGTTTTTTTTTACATTTATTATTAAAATTAGTATTTGTTTATTTTTATTTTCTTCACGTCAGTTTTTGACTCCTTCTGACTGCCTGGGCTAGTTCCTGCAGTTTTCTTGGCAAAGTTTTTCAGAAGTGGTGGGCCTTTGCCTCCTTCCTAGAGCTGAAACAGCAACTGGCATTAAAGTCACCCAGCTGGCTCTGTGCCTAAAGCAGAACTAGAACTCACAGGCTCCTGGCTTCTAGCCAATGCGTTAACCCACTACATCAAATTGGCTCTCAGATATTTATTTAGCTTGCTTGTCATTAAGGCATTTATTATAGGTATTCAGATTCCATAGTGAGCACGGTACAGGAAGGTTACAAACAGCAAAGATAATTCAGCTTGTTCCTAGAGTGTAGAGACTAGGAAAAGTTGAGGGTGGAGTTCCTTACCATTTTTCACTAATCTCAGTTAACTTTATCTTGCTTTTTAAATGCACTCTATTTTTACATGTAGCCACAAAGCACATTATTTTTTTAAAAATAGTTTAGAAGTACTAAATGATTAGTACTTCCTAATCAATTGGATGAATAAAGATTAAATATTCTGAGCACAAGCCATAGCACTATTCTGTTGGGCAACACATATTGGATAAGTCTATGACCTTGAAAATGGCAGTTAATAAGCATTCCAAGTTTCTGTAATCTCACTTTGTATGTACTGCCTTATTTCACTTGCCTATAAGAGATTCTAATCAGTTTTGATATCAGCAATAGTCACAGGAGCTTAAAGAGGTCTTGAAGCAGTAGGGCTGAGATAAAAATAATGTGATGCAAATAGTTCTGCAGACCTGAAGGCTTTTTGGATTTATACTTCTTAAGTGCCCTCACCAGCCCATAGCAAGCAATTTTTAAAAAGAAGCAAAATTTGAAAGTAAATTACTAGATGGAATGAATAATCCATTTTTCAAAATCAAAAATTCCTAGTTACATCCTGGATTCTGAAGAATAAAATTTCAATATTTATTTCAAGATGTTTAGGATAGCTTTACCTAAATCAGTATTTTCCCTATATGTTGGGCCAATGTCAATATTGGAGTTTGGACTGCATAGGACTGAGGAACACTATCTGAGAATAAAAATAGATTGAAATACATTGAAAGCTAATAGCTGCATAATTTTAAAAATTATACCTAGGTTATTTGTTGTACAAAACTCTTCTTAGATGAATACATGATTGAAACAGTCTAGGAACTTTAAAAAAAAAAACAGAGGAGGGAAAAAGGTGGGACTGTATTAATCTAGCATTTTCTCACCATAACTTTGTGCAAATAATGAGGAATATTTTGCAAGAGGGCTCAAACGACTGAATCTCATCAAAGCCACCGGAGAAAAGTCACAGAAAGGTGTTGGGTAACTGAAGCCATATTACTGCCAAGTTCCCAAGTTTTTTTTTTAGAAGCCCCCGTAGCAAAAATAGACAGGCAAGGAAAGGGGTGTGCACAGAAGCACGGACAGCTGACAAATAATAAATAGCCTATCTGTGGCTTGCTACATACCTAATGATGGTTATAAACTGTGTCATAGTTAACTCTTGTGGCACAAGAAACTTTGTTTTGTCCAACAGGGGGAGGTATTTTTCTTTCTGATACCTCTCGACAATTACCTGATGCAAAAGAAGAAAGCACGACATGTTTAAAAGCAATGTGGGAAGCAGGACAGGCTACCAGTGGAAACATCTACTCCTCCTATCAGCAGGAGACAATCCTAAGCACACTTATTGTTATCTACAGAACCTAATGAAGTCAGCGATACCGCTGGCCAAAAAAAAAACCTGCCCTACTCAGGTACATTAAAAAAAAAAAAAGAAACTAGTTCAGGGATCGGCAACCTTGACAACTTGTGGACTTCAGCTCCCAGAATTCCTGAGGAATTCTGGGAGCTGAAGTCCACAAGTTGTCAAGGTTGCCGACCCCCGAACTAGGCAAATGTCAGAGGCGTTTAAGCAGAGAAGAGAAGGGAACGAAGAGAGAGGCTTACGGGCACTTTTGTCGGGAACTTCCCACGAATGCCTGCCACTTCTTCCACTCGGGTGGCTGTGAAAAAAAAAAAAAAAAAGACAAGACGATCCATTAGTTTTCCTAACGGGCCGTTGAGGTGAAAAGGCCTCTCCTCCCAAGGCAGCAGGTAGCGGATTTCAGACGGCCAGCCCCGCAAAGTCCCGCCGCCTCCACGGAGCAGCGAATACAGATCAAATCCCCGGAGGCGTTTTTCCTTTTTCTCGCTGCCGAAGAGCGGTGGAAAGACCCCAAAGCTCCCGACGGGGTTTTTTGGAGCAACCCCAATTCCCGATCACAGAGAAAAAAATCGTCCCACGGAGCTGAGTGGAAAGAAGCCCACACAGCCTGATTTCCCAACCAGGACATTTCCCACTTTCCCCCACTTACCAAAACTTTTCCTTTGCTTGAACGGCCTGGAGGGCTGGCAGTTATGCTGTAAAGGTTGCATTCCCCCCCCCTCCTCCCGCTTTTCAAAAGAGGAGGAAATAAAAAAAAAAACACTACACGCACTTCGGCCCCGCAACAGCTGCGCTCTGAGTCTACAGCCGTGCAGAAGAGCCCCCTTTTTAACGACCGGCTTGCGACATCCACGTCACTCTTTGCCCCCAGGCGTCTCACTCACACACACACACACACACACACACACACACACACGCCGCCGCTGTCGCCCCGCGCCTTCCCCCGCGAGCGGGCGCGGGCGGTGTGGCCGAGATCAAAAATGGAAAGGTGGGTGTTGGAGACCTAAATAAACAACAACAAAAAAAAACAACACGACACTCGGGACGAGTGGGCCTGCAGGCTGGCAAATCCCACCTTTTCTCTGCTCCAGGGTGGCCCACGCGCAATCTTTGTCTCCCTGCAAAGCTTGGGGGTCGCTGTGAGAGAAAGCTATTCGCTAATAATAACGACAATAAACAGTTCGCAGTTTATGATTTTCTCTGGAGTGGAGGATCTATGCTAGGTGGAGGATCTATTCTGGAGTGGAGGATCTATTTGTTTTGTTTTTGTTTCGCCGTGGGAACGGTTCCTGTCCACTCTGCACCCGGGAAGTACTTTTCGGGTGATGTAAACATCAAAATGAGCGCCTGACACACACAGAGACACATCCATTGAGGTGGGTTGAACATATAAACCTTATGACTTCCGTCTCTCGTTACAGAGGGGTAAATCAGCTGTTCGGGGATGGTGGTGGCTTTAGTCCAGTTCATCTCCTGAGTGCTGGGATGGCGCCCAGAGAATCTGTTTGCTGCTGTCCACCGCAAAACCATCTCCACTCAAGTTTCCCAACTTTGTGTATCTGTGGACGGAGTGAGCTGTGTAATAGTCTTGTCACACGGACGCAGCCGGGTAACCTGGGAGTCATAAAAATAACTTTTATTTTAAAGGCAATAGCTATTTATCTCGCAGGGTTCCTACAAGAGCTGCATTGTTCAGGGGGCTGTAATTTCATCTGTTGTGGCTGCAGTCCCAGCTGCATTGCTAATTCAGGTTAATTATAGCACTTGATCTGCGCTGAGGAAAGCCCTCTTGAGTCTAGTGGCATAGCAAGTAGATACAGGATTGCACCCTTAACTATTGAAAGTTGTTGATAAGCTGGTAATTGGCCTGCTGGTATCTGGGGCTGCCCCTTTGTTGGACCTTTCATTACCAGGTAGGTTTTGCCAGATGTTAGCCAAACTTCAGTTTCACCTCCTTGCAGTAAGCTGATAAACTGCTTGGCAATGAATGGGAGTAGATTAGACCAGGGGTAGGCAACCTTGGCTCTTTTATGACTCGTGGACTTCAACTCCCAGAATTCCTGAGCCAGCTTAGCTGGCTCAGGAATTCTGGGAGTTGAAGTCCACGAGTCATAAAAGAGCCAAGGTTGCCTACCCCTGGACTAGACAGATGTTTCAACCACAAACCATGAAGTTCATTTTCACCTGACCAGTTCTTGATTTTCTTTGCCTCTTTCTCCACCATTTTTGCTGTGATTGCAAGTTCTCTCATTTCATTTCAACTTTTTTTTTTAATTCTCATCCACCTCCTTTATCCAAGCTTCTTCTTGTATTTCTTTGGGTTGTCCCACAGCTGTACCCAGAATCTACTGGTTTTTTTTTCCCCTATGGCAAGCATTGACAGGTTCAGTGCAGTCTCTGCATTGATGGATTGATAGAAACATTTCTGATTCAACTGAATTTGGAGATTCTGCCTATGGTGTGCGATTCAAGGTTTGTAACTGCTGATCTTTTGGTTATAGTTGTTATTTTTTATTTTACTACCCAGTCCCATCAGGAGCTCATTAGAGAGCTGGCCTAATCTTATGAAGATGGAAAGGTGAAATAAACCTGGGTGTAGACTGTTTAAATATGACATTCAGCTCCTAATAATTAGTCCGTGTACCATATCAGTTAACACAGAGACAGAGTAGAACACTGTCGCATCCCACAAGATAAAAGCTGAGAAAAAAACAGTAATTCCCCAGTATGCCTATCTGAAACCTACCCTAATGATAGGAATAGAACTGCAACAAAACCGTGTTCCCAAACATCAATTCTTGAAAATGGTCCAGATGGTGTCAGAAGATGTCGAGATATATGCAAGCACAAGCAGAGACAAATTACCCACTGTACCCTCTACAAGACCATCCAATAGAGCAACTAAAACTAGCTTGAAACAGCTCTAGATCAATTTCATCCAGAAATGCTTGGAGTTGTTCTACCAACAGTTCTGTTGGCTGGAATTTAGAACAGTGAGTAGGTTTTATTTGGCTTTAGTAACACTACAGCAGTTTTAAAGCATCTTGCTTCGTAGGTTTCATCATGGATCTTGTTATTTTGAGAAATAATGCAGTGTGCTGTTTTATCAGAAAAGGGTAATGATGACACTAGGAATAGTAAATCTCATAGAAATCAATGAGTCGATCTGAATGCTTACTTTCAATTTTGGCATTCAAATTGCCAACATTATTTATTTCTGGAGATTATAACTCATTGTATGTTGCCTTTTGTGATCTTACAGATGCACTGAACTGCAACTCCCATTGCCTGAATTAGAATTGGAATTGTATTACAGTTTGGGGAAGGCCATTAGCCTTGGGTTGATGTTCTTTGTCTTTTATTTATTCAAGTGTGTGTCTGCTGTGTCACTTTGTGGCACTTTCCTAAGCTGCTTGATTCTATTTCTTATATTTCTTTCAGCCTTCTTTACTTTCTGACTGTACATCCGTCTCACTGTTGCATTAATGTTTCCTGTTCAACTGAACTTAGCATTTGAAGCATCCTCTCTTTTGGTGCATTCTTTCTTGGAATCTCTCTCAAACCATTTGTAATCATAGAAGCAACCCTGGATTATTTTTCCACACAAAAAGGTCTGATACTTTTTTCAGGAATTTGCAGGTTATGCCATCACTCCACTTATCAGACTGGGTCTAGAATTACGCGATGTAATTACTTAAAAATGTGTCTTGCACGCACGCAGTACTGAACAAAATGTTCCACAGAGATTTTCTGGAAGGCAACATTTCTGGTCTAGTAATGTAGCCTTCTCCAAACTTGTAATAGCAAAATAGGAAGTTTAACTGGCACTGGCTTGAAGAACTCAAGATTGTACAGAATATGTTCTTCACTGGGAGAGCCTCTCAGTCTTTGGAAGAGTTATGACAAATATTATGGTAAGGTATGAAATAATGGTGTATCTTCCTGGATGCAGCAGAATTTATTCTAGGGGGGTTGAGGGTGGTGAGAAATATAAGAGATGAACGTTATGATCTTATTCAGGAACGAAACAATAATAAAGCAGTCAGCTGGATTGGGTGGGTGCTCTTAATATACCATCATTCCATGGGTTTCATTTCCAGGTTTCATTTCCAAATTTTCCCTGTCCTTCCCAAAACACAGGAATGAACACAAGAATAGTTCCCAAGAATAGCTGTGAGTTGAAGGCAGAACTATTGATCACTGAACTAAATCTACTTCCTCAATATCATTCCCAACGTGGTCAGTTTCGAAGTGACCAAAGGCTAGAGATCATGGCAACAACAGAGCAGGATCGGAACTCTGTTGAGGGTTTTTGAAAAAGATAGGTATCATGGTTCTGATAGATGAAACCAATAAAAGAACTTCAAGGCAAGAATTCTTCCTTAAAGAACATTTTATTAGGAAACAAAATATCGGCACTTACATAGTTGAACCCAAGAATGAGATTCCCTCCCCCCAGATACAAAGTAACGTTGAAATTCCCACCCCACAAAAGCTGTCATAAATCACATTCCCCAATTAGTGCAAAACTTGGGCT